TAAAATGAAAAACAGATGACACATTTATTCAGCTTTTGGCTTCTGTAACATCAAACAGCACATTTTCTTCAAATGGTTTCATCAGTGGACCAGTAACCTCTTAAATTGATTGAGTCAAACCTGTCACTTATTTGATGGTTGGAACTTTATAAAATAGTCTCTAGTTTTTTTCATCTGTTAGTCCGTTACCTATTTCTCATAAGAGACTAAAGGGTAGCATCTATCTTCATGCTTTCCCAATATATAACTTTAAGTTTTTAACCAAAATGAAGATGCAAAGCAAAAAGGAAGCATTTGATTTCCATTAAAGCGATATCTTAGAATTTTCAGTTAATTGTTTTTAATAAGAGTTTTTAAAAACATTGATAAAGCCAATCTAAATTCTGCTCAAAAATAAAAAAGCTGAACAATTTGCTATTTACCAGAGTGATATGCAAGCAAACAAACTAATTGAAAGCAATAGGTGAAATAAAAATGATAGGCAAATCTACATTTGAAAGGGAAAAATATTTATTAATTTGAGCCAATGTTTGATAGGTGGCACATCCATGATGTGACAAAATAGAAGTTTCTCCCCGTGAATTCCAGGTACCTCCATAATCTTACTGAATACACAGCAGAACTCAATTTACCTACATCTGCTTTCAACATAAACCCAGTACCTTCAAATCTCAGTCTGTCTTCCTGAAATACCATGAAGCCCACACCAGAGCACTCAGTCTGAGAGCATGTGGGTATTCCTGGATATCTTCTGGAAATCTGCTGATATTTAAATCATAGCACTCTCAGCTGAGAAAAGTTGAAGAGAACTAACAGCATAAAATCTTCCCTGGAGAACAAGGAAGAGTGAGAGATCAAAAGCAAGAAACAGATTTCTCCCTAAACATGCCAGGAATGAAAAGCCCACTTACTCATTTACACATTGCCCATTTAGCATGGACCCAAGAGAAATGCTCTGAAGCAATGATCAGATGGTGCCTCAGCCCAAGCAGATGACACACTTGGAGGTTGGGCTCAAAGAGGTGGGCAGGGAAACTACCCAGGGATGGGAGGCACCTGGGCAAGTGACAGCAGCGAGCTGGGACACGTGAGGCCTGAAGAGTCAAGGGAAGGAGTGGGTTACCTGAGTCCAAAAGGTGGTCTGTACAAAGGATGACTCAATTAACAGCAGCTATGGCTCTGCTCAAAGGCCTCTGTCAATACACAGCCACTTACTACAGAGGGAAGTGGGGGGATAAATACCCTGACCCTGCTTTCCTCCCTCCCTTTGCTCTATCATTACTGTCAGTCTGACAGAGACCAACCAGAAGCAGAGGGCAGACTTGGGTGTCAAATTCTCCAGAAGAGAGTGGACTGAAGGGCAGCCATAAGATATCCAGTGCAGGTGAGTGACTTCTAATATTTAATTGTGGAGAGGAAATATTTTGTATCTTATTGGAGAAAAAATAATATCCTTGTAGAAAGAACATGTGACATTACATAGGGATTAAAAAATGCATAATAATTTATTTTCAACTCAAAAATAAAAGTCAAATGATAAATTTAAAATATTAAAGGATAAATTGTTGATAATTATAACAATAAAATATCAGATTAATTTTATACTTCTACAACCAACCTCAGTTTTTCTGCTATTAAGACTATAATCCAAAAATATCAACAACAACAACAACAAAAGACTACAATCTATCCTGTAAGGTATTATGCCATCTGAGGTCCTTAAGAGAATAAAGAGAGAAGAAAAAGTAAAACAAGAACGGACAATCAAAGGGAAAAAGGAAATGAGGTATGGTTCTTTTCATTTTCCTGTCCTGGAAAGTTTAATTCCTAGAAACAGGTATCCAAGTAAGCCCTGAATTCAACTTCTTTGTAGGCCATGTCAGGGATGAAGATGCTCTCCCCTACTTTCCTAAACAATCTCAGAATGAAAGCACCTACGACATAACAGTAGTGTTCCCCAGTCAGTGGGAGATGAGAGATGCTGAAAACCTATTTTCATAACCAGTGAAGGTGGTCCAGATCTCTATTTCTACTTTCTGTCCAGAGCCTCCATTCTGGCCATGAAGGAACCCAGATCATGGGTCATCTCGAGACAGTCCTTTTGTGTGCCTTGTGGACAGTCTCTGCTGAAAAGCCTTCTTTCTATCTTTCCTCAACCTGCCACACATATGTGACTTGTTCCCTAGTGGTACAGAAGTGGGTACTAGTGCCTAAAAACATCTAAATCACTTATTCTGTCCTATCATGTTGGATACGATCATCTTTCTTCCTTTTTCTTATCCTTTCCTCCTTCCCTCTTTTTAATATGCATGCATGCATTTCACCAACAGATACTGAGCACCCATATGCTAGCCATCCTGTGAGGATGAAGATACAAAATAATAAATCAGGATCCCCAATCTTGAGCAGCACACAGTGCAGTGAAAGAAAAGCACACATTATAACATGTCTTTTCTCATACCCCTGGAACACAGCAACACAGCACAGCATATTTGCTACATATATGTAACATATGTGACAAACACACATAGTCTGACCCTGAGTGACCTCCAACACCCTTAGGATCCTCCCCCACTTACCTCACCCTCTGCTGGCCTCTTCCCTATATCTTCTGTCTTTTATGTCAACAGGATTTTAAAGAGCTGAACATATGCAAGGATGCTAAAGCCCACTCAGAATGGTACAGAGAGGAGCTCGTTACTAGAGGAGGGTTAACAGTGGTAGGAGTTGGTATTCAGCTCTAGAAGAAAGGGAAGGAAGTAAATAAAGGGAGGATATATGGGCATGGAATTATAAAAATATGGAAGAAGCTAAATACCAAGATTACCTTCAAAGTTGTCTTCCTTCCAACTTGTCTTTCACTAGGAACAGATTTTAAAGTTAATATTTGGAAATATATTTTATAAGGACAAATAATACATAAGAAAACCCTTTTTTTATGGAGTCCTCTCTTTCAAAAGCACCTGCGCTTCAGGACAGAATACATATTTCTTCAGATCTATTAGAATCACCTGGGGAACTTTAAACACTTTCAGGACCAGGCCCAAACAAAACAATTAAATTAAAATCTCAGGGAGTGTGTCCAGGCAGCAGTGTGGTTTAAAACTCCCTAGCTGATACTCATGTGTAGCCATCATTGCATGTAATAAATATATATTTAGACATATAATTATTGTTGTATGTCTATCATCCCTTAGCAAAAGTAAACTATTCTAAGCATTTGTTTCATTTTTGATAATGTCATTATTAGAAATTTATATGTATAGCTTTAAATTCCCTTAAAAAATTAGGTGGATATTTAGGAGTTTGATCATATCAACATTTGAATAAGATATGCAAGTTTTTTTAATATTTAAAAATAAAATGAGCTTCCTAGAAAAATAGCAAAGTCTTAGTGAGCAGATGGAGCTTGGGCCAGAATAATGATGCAAAATTTTTATTCAAGCTACTACCTTCCACCCACATCCTCTTTTTGCTCTTCTATTCTATATCTGGGATCAGTTGTGCAGAATTTAGATAATTTAGCAATCTGAAATACACGTAGGTTTGGGTAATGCTGATTAAGAACTCTAAAGTCTCTTTCATCTAAATATTCAATAATTTCATGACTGTGTGCATTTTACAGTCAAAATACAAACCGGGCTTGCACTATGTGCAGGACAACTACTGAGATAAGAAGTACTTAGTCTTTAGAAGTAGGCTTGCAAGGTATAGAAACCCAGATTAGCTCTGGCATGTAAACTACTGAAAACGTTCTTGTTAACTGGGCAACATGTTTTCTAAAGGTGCAGAATCCACTCTGTTTGTATCACTTGTCAGAGTTAAGCATAAATAATGTACAAACAAACACACTGTGCCAGTATAAAATGTAATATTTGTTTATGAGACTCTTCTAGAATCTGACAGTGGCCCTCTGTTAACAATATTTAGGCCATAACCATATTGGACAAATTTTACCAAAAAAAATTCTTAAGCTTTGGATGATATTAAATAGCTTCAAAACTTTCCCTGTATCTGGCTTCTAATCTCAGATATAATCATGCCAGAATTACCAATTTTAATGATTACATTGTCACTATAAATTTTAACCAAGAAGAACAATCACTAAGAACATGTTTTATAGCTGGCTACCATTTTCTTAATCCTAGCTTCATAGACTGTTAGATTTCTCAAACCAGTAAAACACCCTCCAAAATGTTACCACTAACTTCTCAATCTTGCCAAGGAAGGACATTGGTTAGAGGAAATAAATCTATACCCACTGTTATCATTACATCATTGTATCATATAAACACCAAAAGAGTAGCAAGTATAGAATCTCTCAGTAAAGGATAATCCTATTTAAAGCTACACTTAATGAAATTTTTTTTTCCTGGAATATCTTATTTCACAGTAATCCAGTGAAAATGCCATCACAGAGGAGTGTAAGTCCATTCACTACTCTTCTGAGGGTGTTCATTCAACCTCCTTCCTAATTTCCAATAAACCTCTGCTTGCAGTCTCACTGACACCTGAGCTCATTTAAAGGGTGCCCAGGGTGTCCATGACAAATCCTAAGGGAGCATTTCTCTATTCAGTTCAGAATTCAACCAGAGTTTAACCAGAGCTTGCAATAACACTGACAACAGAAGAGTCCCTTTCCTCAAAAATTGCAACCTGAGGAAAGGTACACTTTTGTTTGTTTGTTTGTTTGTTTTAAATAAAATCTTAGGCAGTGACCCAAAACCCAGAACCTTATCCCTGTGAGTCAGAAAAAAAGAATCCATGTCCTGCCACTTTTATCAGCTTGGGAAACTCCATACTTTATGTGATATTACATATTTAGCTAAACCATGGAAAGATTCCCTTATCCTACAAGGGCATTTGTTACATGATATTCAGGACAAGAGGAAGAAAAAATTCTTGTTCATGTTCTACAGCCACAGGACTATAAACCTCTAATCTGTCATTCCTGAGATAATTTAGTGTCACGTAATAAATATATACTCACCAATCTGGGCTGGTGTGTCTGTAAAACTACCTGATGATCTTCAGTTTTCACAGTAAGATTCAGATTCTTTTTTTCTCAAAAATACTTTATTTCAAACATCTGGGGAAAAAGTTATCTCGTTCAATTTAAAACACTGAAAACATTCACAAATGAGCATAATCTAGATTTGAGCTACAGATTTTTGGTTCAATGTATCATCTATCTTTTTATTGGTTTCAAGGTTTTTTAAAAAGAAATTAAATTTACAGTGAAGAGCTAAAATAGCTTTGTTGGTTCTGTTAATATATATTACTTTCTTCATTGATGTGTTTCTTCTTTTTTTCCATAATGATCTGAAATCCACTGTTGCATTTTGGGGATGCTAGTGCAAACACACAAATGGATTTCTCCCAATTTTCCAGTGCCCTGAATCCATGATGATCTTGGGCCTTCATGTCTCTGCAAGCATTTACAAAGAACAAAAGGACCTCAGAACAGTTCATAATAGAAGGAAACCTTGTAGTAATTTTTCCCTCCTAAAGTTAAAGGCAAATACAAAATGACCAAAAGACAAATACATAAAAAAAGAAACCCTAACAGGGACTCTGTAGATAACAGGAAGAACTAGACAAGCAAAGAGAGACAGCTAAATGATATTTAAACTTATTGTGGATTAACTAGCTGAAACACCAGAATAATGAATACATACATCCATACATAAATACTAAATTAAACAGTTTAAAATGTCTCCATCATAGATGGGTTTAACCCCCAACACCATGCCAAAAGAGAGAGAGAGAGAGAGAGAGAGAGAGAGAGAGAGAGAGAGAGAAACAAAAAAAAAAACTCTCTCAAAATTCTAATCAAAAGGTTTATAGTCAAGTATTTTATCTGGAAAAAGAGTAGCATAGCTCTACAAGGAACCTCGCTTAGTCTGTGTGTGCTGCTAGAATAAGAAACCTGAGACTGGTAAGTCATAGAGAACAGACACCTTCCATGGTCCTGGAGTCTGGCTAGTACAAGATCAAGGTCTAGGCAGGTTTTTTGTTTGTTTGTTTTGTCTGGTGAAGGCTTGTTCTCTACTTTCTAGGTGATGTCTTCTTTCTGCATTTGTCTGAAAAAGGCCTAGCTAAGTTCCCTTCGGCCTTTTACAAGACAACAATCCCATCCATGAGGGCCACCTAATGTCCCCACCTCTTAATACCTCCGCATTAGAAATTTAAATTTTTAACAAAAATTTTTGGATGGGAAACAGACATTCAAACCATTTTCTACTCTCCATGCTAAACTGGAAGCAAACCAGTGAACAGAGACATGCCCTAGTCAAACAGAACCTGAGAAAAGGCACCTTAACAACAATACATACTTTTAGCCTTTTCTCTACTCTTTTCCTCCATCTCAGTTGTTATTCTCAATACTCCTTCCTTTCTTCTGTGATTGGCATAAATAAAAATTTAACCTGTTAGCCTAAAAAGGTTTATTTAATGCTTATTTACACAGTCATCTTAAGCAGATTTTTTTAATAGTTGAAGTTTAGAACTGATTTTGAGAAAATTACTATAAACCGTGTTCCAGAGAAGACATGTATACCTTGAAAGAGAAAGGTCTCCAAGATCTGCAAAATTTGATTAAACTCGAATTGACTATATTCACAGACAAAGGAAAAAACGTGCACATTCAAAAGTGAGTTGGTCAGCCATTGAAAGGCTTTTCTAAAGAACAGTCACAAAAACTCATATTGGTAGAGCTTTCCAACTATGTTTATGGGAAGTCAATACCTAGCCAAAGTTTCTGAGCTATCTATTTCTGGTGAAATGGAATATATCAACCTGAATCCATTTGCTGTTTGATTCATCTTATCCTTTTGCTTATTATAGGCTCACCAAATGCATTTCTGTTAACACATTAGATGGCTATAGATAGGCATTATGTCTGACTTTGATGTTAGCTAAGGTTCAACACCAGGATCATACACAAAGATGAGAACCTGGTCTAGACCTGTATCTTGCTCTGTTCTCACCTAAGACTTTCATTAGTACTTTCTAGACAGAAAGACTACCATAAGACATTCACCAGCTGTGACTGTATATGTGTTAGTTCAATATACCTAAATATGTATATAAATTTAAATATTATTACCTCTTAGTAAACTGGCATTATTTAACTTACATTCAAAGATACACTTTCTTCACATTAAAAGCAAGTAAATGAATATTTAAGATATTGATGTAGATGGAGTGGTCAGGAAAAACTTGGAAGTGTTAGTTAGATTGAGCTCTATAAGATCTCAGAGAAAGACCTGGTGGAAAAGATGTCTAGGCAGGATAGATGTAAAAAGTTTCAAAAGCAGGGAAAAACTCAGCCCTCTCTAGGAGCTGAGACCAGGAGGGAACTGAAAGACCACCAGGGTGGGTGGGGTATCATCCAGGGGGAGAGCAGCCAAAGGCAGCCCCAGGATTTGGTCAGGGATCAGAGCATGAAGGCCTTCTCAGCCACGGCAAGGGGCTTGGATTTTATTCTCTGTGTGATGGGAAACCACTGAAAGAATCTAAGCAAGAGACTGACATGATTTAATCACTGTGGCTGCTCTGTGGGGAATGGATTTATGAGGAGACAATAAATAGGAAGACCAATTAGGAATTTATCACAGCGGAGATAAACACAGGAAAAAAAAAAAGATGATGATGGATTAGCATAAGGTAATGGCAGTGGTGGGGGGGTGGGGCGGAAGCAGATGGCTCCAAAGCCCTTTTGAAAACCAAATTGACAGGAGATGCTTATCCAATTAGATGTAAAGGTGAGGAAGGGAGCAATGGTGGGAATGACCCCCAGATATCAGAACTGAGTCACACAGGGCTTGCAGGGATCTCATCCAGGTCTTCTATTAGATAGGCCCAAATGTACCAAATGCATCAGTACTCTTTAGGCAAACTAGCCAAAAGGCATTTCCTTTAGAAAGGAACTCTGGACAATATCTATTAAGGTATACAATCTCTGAAATAGTCGATTAAATTTGAAGAGTATATTGGGGTGATATTGACATTGTCTAGTGTTTTGAGACCTCTTGTGTCCTTGTTGTCATGTTCAAGTACTATCAATTTGGGTTTTTTAGAAAATTAAATCAGTAACTGTTGCACTCCTTCCCTAAATTCAGAACCAATAGGAAAATAGGAACCATTCCTACTCCTAAAAAAATATAATAATAAAGTCAGTTGGCCAGTCACCAGGGCTGATTTGAGGAGCAGGCTTCTGATCTGTGGTCACATGGCAAGCTAACACTGCCCCCACCCTACTCCGTTTGCCTTCTCCACTCTAGCTTTAGGAAAGCCTCATTATCTTAAGAAAGAAGTGTGGGTTTTAAAAGCAGATGAGCTAACCCTATTTCACTGCCTTACACGACAAGAGGATCCATGGTGCTTATCTTTTTATTTTGCCCCATCACCCTAGGAAACAAGTACCCACCACGGCCAGAACCTCGGGTGTACTCTATCTACTCTCTAGAAACAGCACTGAACAAGAGCTTAGGTTGAAAATGATCAGAAGTCTCCTCCTGGTTGTATCACTCAGGCTGTGTGTTCTTGGGGACAGATTTACACACTACTAGGAATAAAGCACAGTAATTAAAAAGAAGTGCTTTGGGAATTAGTCAAAGGTATGGATTCATTTTATTCGTGTACTACAAAAAAAAAGGAGGCCTCTTAGTCCTTCCCTTGGTCATTCATACTTTTTAGGTACTATTTTTTTTCACATATAAGATGACAGGGTATACTTGGATGTCTTTTTTTCTAACAAATGGAATCCTTTCTTCAGATATCTGGGCTCCCTTGGGATGTGGGTCTGGATTCTAAGGATACTCAGAGAACATCTTGAAACTCTAACAAGCATAGTGTCTTCCTTCCCAACATTCCCTGGGCATCTGGTGGCTACTCACTCATTTCTTAATGATGAAGTGGCCACCTGTTCAAAGAACTAAACAGTGGTTATTCTCTTTGAGAGTGCATGAAAAGGAGCACATCCATCTCTAATTAACATCAAGTAGAAAAAGTCAAGAAGCAAATGTGGGAAGATGAGGGCTCCTCTCAAAACACAAAATGATAAGAATTATCAAGGATCTACTTGTATAATAGTGAAAACTTGAACTGAGCTTAATTTTATTTCATTGGTTAGTTCTACAGATTATTTTTGTACAAATTTCTGCCTTTTTTATGCTATTGACTTGCATGTTTTCACTTCTATGATTGGCAATGTTCATTTTAATACGAAGTCTTTGCTATTCCACAGGAATGCTTAAGGGGGGAAAAATGCAACATTTTAAAGAAACATGTAAACAGAATGCAGACTCCTAAGCTGCAGAAAACACAGAGGCTCCTGGCTTCAGGAATTCTCATTTCCCCTCAAATGTTGGTTTAGTCCTGCACTGAATTAGGCTGCAATATTTTATTATATGATAAAAAGCATCATTTAACAGGAAGTTATACTCTTTTATGTTGCTTTTGAATTTCATTTCCATGCTACTTTTAAGAAAATAAGTGCTAAGTAGAAGCAGAACAGGTATTTGTAATTACTCATGAGTCATTTGCTATCACATAATTTAATATCCACAGATCTTTAATATTTATAGCACATGTTGAAAGGATTTAACATATGTAGTGATCTTCACCAAGTAACTTTATACTCTTCTTGAATACAAAGATATAAATTTTGTCACCATTTATGCAACCTGCTAAAAATCTTGCTATTAATTCATGTGAATGAGTTTTTCCTCTAAAATTTTAATTAAAATACAAATACTTTGCACACTTCAATCGGCAATATCCTACACATGCATTTTTTTTAAAAAAAATACTGACTGATCAATTGGATAACAGGGTATTTCTTTGTAGTAAGATGTTTTCTTATACCTGAAAATTCCCACAAAGGAGTTACTTGTGTGAAATCCCAGTTAGGAGCCAGTAATCAGCACACTAGAAGGTTTCAGTGATAACAGCATTAAACTCACATTGCTGTCTACACATAAACATGCTCCAATACAAAAAAGAGGAACAGAAATCTAGGAAGGTAGATAGTTAAAATGAGCCTAGAAAACTAGGCAAAAATATTCAACGTTAACAAGAAGCATGAGCACTAGGCTATATACCATCACAATCAAACTGTGTATAACTTAGGATTTCTACCAGAGTTGCTATTCAATGCAGAATACTTTTATCATCAGTTATAATGAAATCAAGTAATTCCTTTTCAAGCCCTAAATGGAAATTATGCCAAAGCTTTCTAGAATAATACAACTAATTCACATATTTTAAAAATGTATGGTCTAATATAATTTTTTTTAAATCTATTAATTTTTAATTGGCTAACTCTTCCCCCAGATTAGCAAAAATAGTGAGAGTAATAAGATATAATATTACTATGTTCTCCAAAATCTTATCAAAAGAAAGAAATACTACAACAAACCACATCTTTTGTTCCCCGTGAACCTTCTTTATGGGAAACTTTTCAGTTATGTCATTATTGTTACAAATCATTAAAATAATTATAATGCTGTATATTCTTTCGCCATCCAGTTTTCTTCATACTACTGAGAATTTCATCAATAATTGTGGGGTATTATAAGGCAAAAAGTAAAGATTTTTCTAAATGCATTTTTCAAAGCCGAAGTGTACATTTTCCTAAAGGAATGAGAGAAAAATGTTTGATTAACTGACACTCAGAAATCATTCCTGAGCAATCTGTTAGAATTTCTTTCCCTTTACAATGTTTTCTGTTCTATGCTATCAAGAACTATGAATCATAATTTCTGGCAGCTAAAACCAAAGGGGGTGAGAGTCTATTAGCATCCTAAAAATATGCATGTCCTAATGCTCTCTTAAAATATGTCTGCTAAGAGATGTTTCAGATTTTCTCAGCCAAGCAAAATGACATTAACTAAGACCCTGGCATGAAGATTTGCTTATTTTAGTTTGCTTAACAATGTAACCATAGCACAAAAATATTGCTACTCAATGGCAGATAAGATATTCTCTCACATTCTGACCTATTGGCTTGTTAACATCACATGATAAATGATCAAATCCCTTATGATCACTAATTGTTATGAAGGCAAATAACTGAAAGTGTATTGGAATGAGTTCTTTCTAGGTTAAGACAGCATTCCTTCTTTCTATTTTGAAGGGGTCTGGTTAAATCCTTTACCCCAAACCAGGAATAATTGAGAATAATTAACAATTTAAATAAAGACAGCATAATGTGTCTACAAAAATAGCTGATGAATTTCTGGAAAATTCAAAAGTAATTCTTGTAAGTTTCTTGCATTCAGCAGTCCACAAGAAAATGTGCCTTTATTTGCCTTCGCCCTCAGAAAGTTTACTACAGGATTCCAGGAAGAATTTACTAAAAGGAAATAATATCTGGCAGGATATTTAGCTGACTCTGAGTAAAGGATGAGTAGGACACAGAGGTCAGACTGAGTCAAAAGAGGATGTCTTGTTATTCTGATGTTACACCTTTGAGGCAAAGGCCTAATACCTTTCCAGAAAATAAAAAGCAACAAATGAATACTTTTCTCTGCTAGAGACAGCAAGAGGACAAGGGTCACGGAATTGCTTCTCTGGATGCATTGTTTCACCCATTTTCTCTTTTTTAATAGAAAACAGCAAATTAATCAAAGGAACACTGCCACCTGTTTTACTTCATATAAGTAGTATATTTTTATACTTGCAAAAATACAGTATATTTTAAGCAAAGATAAAATGAAATGTTAGATGAATTTATTGGAAAACCCAAAGAAGTTTATTTAATAAGCACAAGTACACAAAAAAAGTAGAAAACAAAGAATTCTGGAAACAACTATGATGTCAGGGAAGATGGAAACCTGGAAAGAGAAAGGGAATTCAAACAGGACTTGGAGAACAGAGCCCAATTAACAGTTGAGGAAACAGGAACAAAACATTGAGTGTGGATAAAAAGCCTTATCCTTGTTTCCTGCTGGGATCGTACCTAGAAATTTGCAGTTATTTGCAGTTATTCAATGAGATCAGTATTATCTGATGATTATAATATATTCCCAAATATATATTATGTAATTACATGTATTGCCAAAAAAAAGAAATTTGTAATCAAATTCTTGGAATATACTGAATTAAGCAATGTTTAGTAGATTTATTTATTGAAGGACTTTTCATAATCTTTAACATTTTAATAAATTTTCATAAGATAGATACTACATGGTCACAGTATACTATTTTCATACACTTTCATTTAATTTGCTAATACTTCAATGATTTTTGCATCTATTTTCATGTGAGAAGTTGATCTGTAGTTTTCACGTATTATCCATCTGTCTTCTTATCACAATAATGCCTACCTCATAAAATGACTTGGAACTGTTTCCTCCTCTTCAAGCAAGAATGAAAGCTTAGTTTCATCTTTCCTTGTCTTCTTCCTCCTCCTTCTTCTCATTCTTCTTCTTTTTAGGTACTGCAAATTGAATTCAGGGGAGCTCAGCCACTGAGCTACATTCCCAGTCCTTTTCATTTTTTACTCTGACACAGAGTCTCACTAAATTTCTCAGACTGACCTTAAATTTGGGATCCTCTTGTCTCAGCCTCCCAAGAAGCTGAGATTACAGGCATATGCCACTAAGCCCACCTGTTTTTTTTTGGTTTTTTTTCTTTATAAGTGTGATAGAATTCAGCAACAAAATCCTTTAGTCCTTCAGATTTCTGGACTTTTTTTGTGGGGGGGGGGTCGGAGCTTCTAAATAATGAATTAACTGATTTAGTAATTATAGAACTATTATAGTTTGCAAACAATTACTAACTTGCTTAACTTATTGAATTATGTATTTAGCTTTACTCATAGTATTCATTCTGTCCTTTATCCCAGTCACCTTTCATTCATGATATTTTCATTTATGTCTTTCCTCTTTTGTCTTTCTGCTATAGGTACATCAATTTCACTGATCTTTTTAACGATTCCATTTTTTATTTAATTAATATTCTGTGTTTTCTATTTCAGTGTTACTGATTTCTGCTCTCATATATTTATTGCTTTTTACATGTATTTTCTTTGAATCTATTTCATATCATTCCTAGTTTCTTAAGATAGAGCTCTCTTTACTGTTTTGACACCACTCTTGTTTTCTGATAGGAGCTTTTAACACTATATTTCCTCTGAGCAACTTCCATATTTGGACATGATATAGTTTCATTTTTCTTGAGTTCAGAATATTTACAAATTTCTCTTGAGCCTTTTCCTTTGACACAAAGAGTATACAGAAATGTATTGCTTAATTTCCAAGTGTTTGAAGATTTTCTTGTTACCTTCTGTTATTGATTTCTAGATAGAGTCTATTATGTTCAGAAGACATGTTTTATATGATTTTAATTATTTGAAATTTTTAAAGATTTGTTTGTGACCCAGCATCTGCTTTTCTTTGTAAATATTGTATGTATACTCAAAGAGAATGGCATTCTTCTGTTGTTTCGGGGAATGATCTGTTTATGTGATTTAGGTCCAGTTAGTTCATAATAAGTATCCTTCATAATTTTACTATTAATTCTTCAGAAAGGAGCACTGAAATCTTAGTGCACATGCAAATTTTTTTTATCTCTCCTTTCAACTCTGTCAATATGGTTGTGGTGGTGCATTGCCTATAAGCCCAGCAATTTGGGAGGCTGAGGCAGGAGGATTGCAAGTTTGAGACCAGCCATAGCAATTTAATAAAACAAAAGGGGTAGATATAGCTCAGTGATATAGTGTCCCTGGGTTCAATCCCCTGTATACAAAAAAAAAAAAAAAAAAAAGCTTATGTAGAGAAATGTTAAAAACATACAAAAAAAGGAAGGAAGGAAGAAGGACCAAAAGGAAAAAAGACAAGACAGAGACAGTAAAAAGTTGCATAAGACAGAGAAGGAAGAGGGAAAAGGAAAGAAAGGAAGGAGGAAATAAGGAAGAATCAAAAGAGAGAAAGGAAAAAGAGGGATGTAGAAAGATAAACTTTAATCTCCATTACCTGGCTGGAGGGCAATAAAGACAACTTCTTTAAAATATGATAAATTGCTTCCTCTGTCTGGGAAAGAGACCACAGTGAGGAAGCCACCATGTAGAAGCTGTGCTCCTCATCACATAGCCTTTGCCACAAAGTGGAGCAGAAATGCCACTTAAAAAAAAATTAAAAGGCTAAAATTTAATGAAATGTTATCCTGAAAACCCTGGGGGTTGAGGTGGAAAAAAAAAAACCTTCCTTGCAAAGCTTTCAAAAAATAAATTCTCATGGGTTATTAAATTGAAGAACAAAGCATAGCATAACCTCAGGGCAGGGGGGCAGTTGGCAGGCCCAATTTTGAAATGTCTTCTCCGATTTTTTTTTTCTTTTTTTCTGAACAACTCTAATAGGTTAAGAACTAAGGAGTTTTAGCTTGGAGAAAAGTTTCAACTGAAACTGAGTGTGAATGAGAGGATATCAAATATTTACACGTGTTTATACACTTATATTTCATCCTATGGTGTAGAGATTAGAAATCTCTGTCCATTATGAATCCGATCTTGTAAGCATATTTAAATGATAAACCAACCAAAGCACCATTCAAGTCTATTGAGGCTATTCTAAATAAATGACCCAAGTTGCACAATCAAAATGTGTGCTTTGTGCACATCATTCCTGTTCTATTGTGTCTTTCTTAGAATGGAAAAGCTGGAATCATGTTCACAGTAGCCAGCTTCAGACACTGAATAAGGACAAAGTGAAACATTGGCTTGGTGTATCATCTTTAGATGTGGTGAAGAGCAAGGCTTTCAAGAGACAAAGTTAACACAGAAACGTAGAAATATATACATATTATCTTGGCCTTGCCACCTCTCATCTCCACAAAGCTGCCACAGAAACACTGTCGTTAAAAATGACAGAATGAAGCAAAGTACCATTATTATTAACTTGGATTTTTGTTTCCAATACCTAAACAAAACCAGAATTTTATTTGGCTGGAGTGGACCAGTAGAAAACTCCCTTTTCCCAATTAGAAGCAAACAGAGGCATAAATCTAAATACACTGACTGACCTACAATTGTTTTTAAGCCCACATTGAAACCTCAGGTTCTACTTCTGACTTTGACATGGAGTTGTGGGGAGCCCAGACTTCTTGTCTGAAAAGTGAAGCTATTGCCCAGAGACTTAAGCCACCCACCCAGGCACTCCTAGGCCACGACACAGGCCTGAGGCCTCTCTGCCTCATGGAAAGTGAAGACAGTATTTAAAGAAAAAAGTAATAAAACACCCACAAAGTGTGAGTGAGAAGTAAAATGAGAGCGATATGACCAAAAATGGCTTAAAATCGGACTCTCCAGCTTCCTTCTTAGAAATAATTTGGGATTTTTGAAATTGACTAATATTTTGGGAGAGTAAGGATTAATGGTAACACAAACAAAGAGGACATCCTTACCCTAGGTGGGTGGCAACATTCTCCATGAATTGGCTCAGCATTCTTTTACCTTTTTAATGCACAAACAGCTAACGAATCTTTCAGAAAAGTGTCACTATAGCAATTGTCGGACATTTATCCTGAAATATAAATTAATGTCCAAACTTCATCTTTAAAATTTTCAGATTTCATAGTTCTAAAGAATATCTATGTCCTTGTTCTCATCCATAGTGAAATTGGATATTTCTGCTAGCTTACACAATCAAGCAAGATCTTTCTCCCATTTGTCTTTATAAGTTTGTATTTTTTCCCCACTGTATGATTTTCCTACTGCTGCTATAACAAATTACCACAAACTTCACAGTTTAAAGCAACAAAAATTTATTATCTCTACGTTCGTTCTGGAGGTCATAAGTCCAAAATCCATCCCACTGGACTACATTCAAAGTGTCAACAGGACAGATTATTTCCATCTGGAGACTTCAGGGAGAATCATTTTCTTTGCCTTGACCTTGCTACTAGGGGCTACCTACATTCCTTGACTCATGAGATGCACTTTGATCTTTTAAATGCACTGCTCCAAATTCTATTTCCATATCAAATCCTCACTGCCCTTCTGTCTTCTTTTTACAAGGTACCTTGAAATTACATGGGTTGACATATTTTACACAATATCTTACCTTAAAGATTCTTACCTTAGACATCCTACTTTTGCCATGTGATGTGACATGTTCATGGGTTTCAGTAATTGAGACATGGACATCATTGAGTAGATATTGTTTAGTTTACCACAGCAACTTGAAAGTTTCCTATAATGAGCATATTTAGAGAACTTTACTTTGTGTGCCCTCTACCAGATAATTTCTCAAAAGTTTAAATAAAATCGATCCTAGTTATATGGGTCAGTGATATCACAAAGTGATGCAGACAAGGAGAGTTTAATAGGTATTATTCATAAATATGTGAGCAAGCTTGAGAGAAATCCATAAAGGATTGAGAAACACTCCTAGATTAGTAGTAATGGTCCAAAGCTCTAAAACTCAATGTCAAAAGGAAAAAGTAGTAACTAGAATCCCAAAAGAATTATAGCTTTGGGAGATGTTTCCTTCCACATGATTTGATAGTGAGGAATATTTCTGTTGCCAATCATCAAACAATAATAAGGAAAAAACCAGAGAAGTAAATATGTGCCTGACCTCTGTTGTCCTGGCAGTACATTGGCTAAACCAGTCAGAAGTCCAAAAACAAGGGAGCCTGAGTGAGCCAACCCATTGAGTCAAATCATCTGGGGCATCATTGAAGATCAAGAAGGGTGAAGAGTGAATATGGAGAGACAAACAGAGAAGAGCTAGTAAGGTCCTATTGTTTACCCTTCATCATCCACTCTTGTCCTATGTCCAAATGAAAAACACATTTCACTAACATAGGTGAAACACAGTGTCCCATCTGTTGCACATTATTACAGAATTAGGCCAATTCAGCTTTATTCCCAACAAAAACCTAAAGCATATAACATATAAGATAATCAGATTAATGAGACAAAGTTGAAAGTTGAGGATAAAGAAATAATTAAAATTGAGCCACTGCTATAGTCTTGTTACAAAGTGGATAATAACATCTTTCTTCATTTTCCACCATTGTTCTTTTCCATGTCACCACCTGCACTATTCTAGACTTTCATTGATGGAGATCCTAAGCCTTCATTCCCAAGAGATATGTATTCTTAGTATTACAGTCTTTCCTGGACTGTCATAATTTCCCATTGACCATTATTGGTAGACAAGGGAGGATCATGAGACATCCCAATGAATTCTCTAAGTTTCACACATGATGCTCTTTCTCCCACCTTATGTGGCAATCCAGTTTTCCCTGGTTAACCAGTATCGACCCTTCCTGACATTTCAGAGGTCTTATGGTTTTGTTATGAGGTGTCCCCCAAAAGCTCATGCGTGAGACAATGCAAGAAGGTTTTGAGGTGAAATCATTGAGTTATGTGAGCCTAATTGAGTTATGTTAACCTAATCAGTGTGTTGATTCTCTGATAGGATTACCTGAGTGATGACTGTGGGCAGAGGGGCTGTGATTGAAGGAGGCGAGTCAATGCGGGCATGCCTTTGGGGTATATATTTTGGGAGCAGAGCTTACACTCTCTCTCACTCTGCTTCCTGGTGTAATGTCCTGATCTGCTTTCCTCTGCCACCAGGATGTTCTGCCTCACCTCAGACTCCAAGGAATGGAGACAGCCATCTATGGACTGAGAACTCTGAAATCATGAACCCCCAAATAAACTCTTCCTCCTCTAATTGTTCTTTTCAGGTCTTTTGGTCACAGTGGCAAAAAAAGAAAAGAAAAGAAAAAGCTGAATAACAAGTGGCCACATTCTTTGCCAAAATGCCAGTGAGAAATATCACCTTCCAAAGTAACAGAATATGACCTTGGTTCCTGATGAGGACATTCCTTTCATGAAAGATTAGGACTTCCAAAGCCACCCATCCCAAATTCATGGAATATTAACAAAACCATGTCAAACAGCTTTGCTTTATTAGTGCAGTATGAAGAACTGCCAGTCTCCTTCCTGGAAACATGAATTTTGGCTATGGAAAAGACAGCACCCATATTGGTTGCAACTTTATAGCATAGGTCACATCATTTACAAGAGCAGTTCCACCTGAAGAGAATGTAGAAAACACAGAAGCAGATAATAATACATCCTTATGTCAGCATTATAGTCTACTTCTTCAGAGAACTGTTCCACCCTCAATCGAGAGACTCTGGGTCTGTGAATTGGACTAATTCAAGAAACTGAATATGAGGCCATGTATGTATGCTAACCTTGGCAACCCATGTCAAATTCCTGCCAACCAAACAAGGGCTTCTTCACACATGAGAAACAACACCTGAGAACAGTACATATCTATTTTCATTTCTACAGATTCCATAATCAATGAACTATTGCCACAAGTCCCCATGAGTCAACCACTTCATCCTTGCAGCTTAAGATAATTGTGCTTAACTTGTTCTTGCTAGTTAAGCAGTGACATACGCTCTACCACTCTGTGGCCGTTATTTCCTTGAAATCCAAGAGTCCACTGTCACTATATTCTCTCCTACTATCTTCACTGGCCTATGGGGAACTGACACTATAGATGCTGAAGTTTTTCCTTATGAAACATTTCGGAACACTCTGGTGAAGGGAGTTTCTTATTGGGTTCTGTTTAGTGGCCACCTGAGTGAGTTTTATATAATAACATTCATCCCAACATTCATACTGCCATAAGGCTTTGAACTCCTTTCTACAATATTCCAAAGGGATCTGAAGCATTTCTTCCCCTCTGAGTCTAGACAGCATTTTGTCTAGTCCTTACTTTACCATATTTGCATCATTCCCAGATAGTTAACTCAACACATTAGTTTTCTAAACCCAACTACAGTCAACTATATAGTAAACTTGGTCCTACCTAAACTTATGTTTTCCCTCCTCAATTCCCTTAAATACTATTCACATGTGCTGCACAGACTCCTACTGATATATTTGGCAATGTCCTGAATCCTTTAGCATATAATCTCTCTCCTTCTCAACCAGATGTTGTACTTCTCTGCCCATTCTCTCTTGTGAATCCCATTCTTTCACTGATGACTGTGTGTCCCTGGGCAAGTCACTGCCTGGATATGAGCCATGACTTTAAAATGATGGTAATAATATCTATCTCATAGGGTAGGTGCATGAAATAAATGAGCAATATAAGTTTATAAAAAAAACCTTCTCTCAAGACCCTAGAACACATGAAGCACAAAAAATATTGTAACATTTCACCCCTTTAAAGATTCCCTTTGAACCATATTCCCAGACACAAGCAAAAATATCAACGAAAAACTGAACCAGTATAAGTTGCAAAGTTTCCTTTTTAACGTGGAGCTAAGAAAATCTTAAGCATTACAAAACTAATTTAGTTTAATGTTGACTTTCTCAAACATAGTAGGCATTCCAAAACAGTATTTGTGGAATTAAGTTCTAATCCAAAGTTTGAATCTGTATATCTGTCCTTGGAATTTATTCTCCTTCAAGCAACTATGTCTGAGAAAAAAAAAAAAAACTCCATAGGATTTCCAGATTTACCAGTAAAAGACAAATGCATCATAAATTGATATTTTAATTACTCATGAGTGGGACTGATGCTGAGCCTTGAGTATACTTAACAGGTTTTGTTTTTCATGAAAGCCTTCATTTCCGTTGACATTGGCAATCAGATTATGAATCTTAGCTCCAGTGCAGCAATTATGTCAAGCTCAGCTTGGGAGGGTAAAAGTGTTCAGTAGAGAGCAGTTGCCCTTGTTCAGAAGAAAAAAGTACAAAAAGGATAAATGATTACTTATTAAACTCACCCTACTTGGGGAATGATAAAGTTCTTATGGAAACATATTAATAAATCTACCCTCAGAAACCTACTTTCCACCTTGCATGGCAGAAGTAAATAGAAAGATAATAGAAATGGGTCACAGAAATTTCATTTATTAACTATCATATTTTATTTGTCTATTGCCTAGGAAGAAAGTGTGAACATGCTGTTTCTCCATATGTTTTAATTTATACTAATACGTTCCCCAATTAAGTTGCTGGGGAACGCCCTTTTAAAAGCGATGCATTTAAGAGTAGCTTGCCATCTACTTGTGATGTCAGTGCTAATGGTTTTAAGAACCTACAGTTTGGGGAAATGACCATATGTATGTGTTGCAGAGTCCATATTCATTCTTTTGGGAAGCAACTTTCTTAATAGCAAAAAGGTGCAACATATAAACTCATAGTCGAGAGTCATCTATTAGAAATTCATTTGTTCCAAATACTTCCCCAATGTGTAAAACTGAGATACAAAACAACCATTCCATGATGTGCTTCAAAAATATACCAGATGTATTTCTCCATTCTTGTGGGAACCTGTGGATTAGCCTCCCCACATGAGCAATCCCTGGGCAGGAAGATCATTTCCTCCTCCTTTTCCCACGAACTCTGTTGCAATTTGCAGGACATTATGGGAAATTTGCCACAATATGTGGGACACTTTGGTCTCTCCCTGGAATTTTACAAGCATGTGCTGCCATAGTTTGAAGCAGGAATCAAGATATTTGTTTCATATGGTGAGATCTAACATAATATAACACTTCATGAGGGGACCAGGGGCTTGCCTCCCCTTTCCAAAGTCATTAGATCTGACAGTACATGCCATTCATTTAGTCAAACTGCAGAACAGAAAGGCATAACCATTAGCTACAGATATCCCTGCTGATTTAACAGTGTTGGAGATTGCAACATCATATCTCGGTACTGGCAGGGAGGAAAGGAGCTGGCAAACCCATCCAAAAATGGGTTCTCCTCTTAAGAGAAGTTTAAATTCTGCCATGCTCTATGCTGTGGAACTCACAGAAGTTTGAGCACCAACAAAACATAGTTTTTATATTTTTATTCCCTCAGTGGGCCTGTTAGAACCTGAAGCAGGGCTATGATTACTTCTAAACACAAACTTGAATTGTTTAATAAATATTCATTTACTTCAGGTATTTTTATAACTGTTTTTTTAAACAAACAAACAAAATTATCTATCAAAGTATAAGAAAGCTTGCAGGCTGTATCTAAAAGAAACTGCCCAGTAAAAGTAGTTGATATCACCAACTCCAAGTCATTGCTCTACACTTACCTCTTGACTGCTGTGCTATTCCTATGAGTCACTGACACATGGGTTATATCCAGATAGACTCACAAATGAAGTGATTATACTGAACTATGATTGATCTAATTACCAGTGGAAATTGGCTATTAATATGGAGGGAAAATAATTCAGTCTGAACAGGATGCATTCAGTGGCATTGCAAATGACATGCCTATAATCAGAGGTAATCAAAATTTTAAAAAATTAAAGTTCTCCCAAGTTGGCTTTCGGTATGGAATTCTTTTTAAAAAGAAAACAAAACTAATCAAATTCTAACTCAATTTTTTAAAAAAATTTCAATAATAAGAGAGAGAAGGGAAACTGCATGGAAATGGAAGGAGACCCTCATCGTTATACAAAATTACATATAAGAGGAAGTGAGGGGAAAATGGAAAAAAAAAACAAGGAAGAGAAATGAAGGACAGTAGATGGGGTAGAGAGAGAAGATGGGAGGGAAGGGGAGGGGAGGGGGGATAGTAGAGGATAGGAAAGGCAGCAGAATACAACAGACACTAGTATGGCAGTATGTAAAAACGTGGATGTGATTTTGCAATCTGTATGCGGGGGAAAATTGGGAGTTTATAACCCACTTGAATCAAATGTATGAAATATGATATGTCAAGAGCTTTGTAATGTTTTGAACAACTAATAATAAAAAAATAAAAAAATTCAATAATAAACAAAGGCATATACACCTTGAAAGCACCTCCAAACTGCTCTAAAAACTTGTGTGAAATACTTTTTTTTACCACCCACTTAACAACTGTGTTCATATCCCTTCTTACACACACACACACACACACACACACACACACTAGGTGAAAGCAACTTTTTATCTTTACAAAAAATAAAAATGACACTAAATGTAATAGACATATTTTTATCATTCATCTTACTTAACCTTTAAATAAAAACGGGCAACTCTTTACTACTGTCTTAAAACTCTCACTTCCGTTGACTTCCATAAAAGGTCATTTTCCTACCTTTCTTTTTATTCTGGCCACTTTATTGGCAGACGCTTTCCCTTCTTCCCCTGGGCATTTGTGTTGGTGTTAAATCACTTTCTCTTTTCACTATATACTCTCTACAGCAGATATCCCCTTGAAGTCCTTCGGTCTGGCTTGAATATGTCCCCCAATTTTCCTGTGTTGGAAACATAATTCCCAAAGTCATATGTTAATGATATTTGAGAGAAGGAACCTCTGCATAGTGAATGAGTCATGAGAACTATACCCTCATGAGTGGGTTAATCCACTTGTGGATTAACAGATTAACAGCTATCATGGAAATAGCTTTGTATAAGAAGAACTCTCTATCACATTTGCTCTTTGTCACCATGTGATGCTCTCTACCATCTTAAGATGCAGCAAGAAGGCCTACTAAATGAGGAACAGATGCCAGCATCATGCTCTTAGACTTTCCTAGCCTCCAGAATCATGAGTTAAAGAAACCTCTATTGTTTATAAATTAGCCAGTCTCAGATATTGTGTTATAGGAACAGAAAACAAAATAAGATACTCATGCAATTTTTATGGAGATAAATTTGGGTTTCTTCCAATGTTTCCTGATGGAAGCACATCGATCCAGTGGTGCCAGCCAGAAACCTAGGAATGATCTTTAACAGTTCTCTTCACCAATTTTCCCCCATGTAACCACTCCATCAGAAATTCCTAGGAGATTTCCCCTAATTTTTTATTGATTTCATCCATTTCGGTCCATCTCTGGTGCCACTACTCTTATTAAAGCTACCATTACATCTTATCCAGACCATTAAAATAATTGAGCTTTATACTTCTACTCTTGCCCTATTCAAACTAAATCCCTCACAAAATTCATAGTAGCTTAGGTAAACAATAAATTTGCTTATAATACCCAGGGCACAAAGAGCAAGGCTCTAAATGGTTCCTCCTCTACACATCTCATTAGCATATCTCCCACACAGTTTCTTCCACACTTTCTGCTGTTGGTATACCTACCCTATTTTCAGTCTCTAATATGCCATGCATGGGGGTCTTTTTGCCAAATACTCTTGCCTTGCATGGGGGTCTTTTTGCCAAATACTCTTTTTCTCTTGCATCAGTCATTCTTCATGCAGATCTCACCTCAAATGTCACTTATCCAGAGAAGCTTTCCATGAGTTCCCTGAATAAGCCAAACTTCCCCAATACGACCTCATAACATTCCTATACCTCTAATTTATGGCACTTTTAAGCATTATAATACGAAGATTATCTATGTGATATTAAGATTTATGCACATAAACAACAAGTTCCTCAAGAGTAAGCAGTAAAGAATCTACTCTATTCACCATGGTATGCTCAAATTCAGTACATTGTATATGTTAAATCACTATTAGTAGAATAAATGAGTGAATGAATTACAGGCTCTGAAAATTTAATAAATAAATACAGATACTCACTAGAATTATTGATCAAACAAAGAACAATGACTTAAGTGATTATAGGACTTGATATTCACAGCGAGGTTAATGGTGTTGATAATTATTAAAATGAAGACAGGGACATTGATAATACTGATGATAAGGGGGATGTTAGCTGACAAGGCACTTTGGACAAAGCTCATGAACAATGTGCCAGTAAAATCTTCATCCTGACCCTAAGATTAAATACTCCTGTCCCCTTTTATGAGGGCACTGAAATTCAGAAAGATAAGGTGATTTGTGCAATTACGATCAGTAAAATGTGATAACCATCTCAAGAATGTTTTTATTATTTTTATCTATGGAGTAGAAGAAAATTTCTCATTCCTTTTTCAGTCCAATAATGCCAAAACTTTATATATTTGGTGCCTTTGGGGAAAATTGCTGACCTTTAATAATGAGCTTGGGAACAAGCATTGCCAATAATTTAAGTGTGTTGTTGTTCATCATCAGCAAATGGAACTTTCCTTTTTGGTACCGCAAAAGTATTAACTTAAAATGTATGTTAACGTTAAAGTAGTCAGCTAACTTGAATCTTTTCTTCTTACTACAGTGTTTTCTCTATTTAAGACCCAAATTGTATGCCTCATGTAGGAAGTAGAACTACCCAAACATTCATAGTAGATCTTCTAGAAAGAAAAGGTGAATTTATGATGACTCTATTGTACATGTTCTAAATGTTTTCCTATTTGTTATTCCAAAGTAGCCTATAAAGCAGCACAGTTCACAATAGCAAGACTGTGGAACCAACCTAGATGCCCTTCAATAGACGAATGGATAAAAAAAATGTGGCATTTATACACAATGGAGTATTACTCTGCATTAAAAAATGACAAAATCATAGAATTTACAGGGAAATGGATGGCATTAGAGCAGATTATGCTAAGTGAAGCTAGCCAATCCCTAAAAAACAAATGCCAAATGTCTTCTTTGATATAAGGAGAGTAACTAAGATCAGAGTAGGGACGAAGAGCAGGAGAAGAAGATTAACATTTAACAGGGATGAGAGGTGGGAGGGAAAGGGAGAGAGAAGGGAAATTGCATGGTAATGGAAGGAGACCCTCAGGGTTATACAGTGGAGGGGGTAGAGAGAGAGGAGGGGAGGGGAGAGGTGGGGAGGGGGGAGGGTGGAGGATGGGAAAGGCAGCGGAGCACAACAGACACTAGTATGGCAATATGTAAATCAATGGATGTGTAACTGATGTGATTCTGCAATCTGTGTATGGGGTGAAGGTGGGAGTTCATAACCCACTTGAATCAAAGTGTGGAATATGATATGTCAAGAAATTTGTAATGTTTTGAACAACCCACAATAAAAAATTAAAAAAAAAACAAAGTAGCCTATAAAATGTAACTATAAAACATACTGTGACAACACAGAACATACCAACATAATTTTTAAAAACCACAAATAATTGTTCTTCCTTTTCTGAACATTCACCTTTAGAGACTGACATCTTCTATAGCATGGCTTCCACACAGGAAAGCTGTAAAAACACTAATAAGCTGAAGCCACAACTTCTTGATAGAAAATAAACTTCAATGTTTGCTGAACTCTAAGTGTCAGAAAAGGATTCTCCAACTCTGGCCAACAGCCCATCATCATATGCAAGATATTGCAAGATATTGGGTTGAACATCCCCTGATCATCCCAGCATTTTTTGTATATAAATTATCTTATATGAACCTTCTGTCACCTAAATTTTTAGAATATATAATTAATAATATAAACTATTTGGATAAACCTGTGAAAATGACAGCTGATCCTGTTTTAAGAAATGTGTCGCTCTGTCTCACAAGAAGTCATGCAATACTGAGACCTAATGATGGTTTTACAACTGTTTTCCAGCATATTTTTACATTGCATGCATTTTCACTTCCAGCCATGAATCTAGTACTTAACAAGACAGAAAATTAATAATTCAGTTGAACATGTTTAACCAGGTAATGCAATCACAGCTAACTCTCCACATGAATGAGCTTTATTTTATTTTTCTAGACAGATTTTAAGTCATCTGATACTATGATCAAAGCAAATTGAAATTGTAATACACCTAAAAGAAGAATAAGTATACACCTCAAAACACTTTTGTTCTGTGTTTACATGAAAAAAGGGAGAGGGAAGAGTTTGGGGAGGGGGAGTGGCAGGCTGACACTCTATGCGTAACTTGTTCCATTGTATCTCGTTATTGCAGCACATATGGCTTGTACCATGCCTATCTGAGATCCCTCCAACACATAGGAATAAGCAGAAAAAGTGAGGAATTAAGTGTTAGCCTTCACTTAGAGTTTCCCGACTTTGGAGATTTTCTCTAAGAGTATTATTTAAAAGTTGTTAATTTCCTTTTATAACAGTTTTTTTTTTTTTAATGAAAGAAATTCCTGATGGAAGTGCAAAGGGGATGCTATGATAGACTAGACTGCAAAAGGTTCTAAAGATGTGTAAATACTTACTTGTGGACTGTCTGAAATTCAGAGGATGCAAATATTCATCAAGGACTTTGAAACATTATTGATCTGACTCCCTCATTTTATTTAGACTATTAGTATCTGCCTTTAAAATACAAATTGGATATTTCTTTTTTAATGAGTAGGTTAAATTGATTCTACCAAGTCAGTTTTATATAAATATTTAGAACATTTTTTGAAAATTTGCATCCCAAAGCACAGCAAAAAATCTTTAAACAAAGCTTTTCCAATCATCATCATCATCATCATCATCATCATCATCATCATCATCATCATCATCCAATCATGGTTTAAATATCAGCTATACCTGTAGTGACCCATCATCATACTTTGTACCATTAGATATTCTCTAATTTCCCATAATATCAGGTCACTAGGCAGCTCTTTCATCTATGTCAAAATGGTTTGGGAATCTCTTCCCCAGGAAAGTTTTAAGTAGTAAGTTCTCCTTGTGAAAATGGCTTTAGTTACCTGTCAATTGTTTTCCAAGATAGTTTTGAGATTGAAAATCAAATTTTACCAACTTTGACATGTTCTACAACCTAAAAATGCAAAATCTACTACATGTATAACTTTAAGCCTTTAAGCTTGGATGTCAAAAGGAAAGTACAGTTTTAATAATTGATTTAGAAGACAAAAAAGATAATATGATTTTATTCACCTAGAATAATTTAAGTGAAAGCTAAACCCTATCTACCATGCACATGAACCATTTAGATTTTTCTGCTTTAACAAATACAAATAAAGCAAGTTTATAATTTTAAAATAAGTGTATTTCTTATTTAAAATGTCTCCTTTCTGTCAGGAGCACATGCCTGTAATCCCAATAATTTGGGAGACTAAGGAAAGAGATTCACAAGTTTGAGGTCAGCCTCAACAACTTAGAGTGACTCTGTCTCAAAATAAAAATTAAAAAAGAAAACTAGGGATGTGGGAATATAGCTCAGTAATAGAGCACCCTGGGTTCAATCGCTTTTGCCCATAAAAAAAAAAAAAGAAGAAGAAAAAATAAAGAACTCTCCCATTTACATTTTACCCAGTCACATAACAGAATAACAGATGTAATAATTCAAATATAAAAATATTTTAGTGTTCTATATGTGCAACAAGAATTGCAATGCATTCTGATGTCATTTATTTTTTAAAAAATCAATTTAAAATATTTTAGAATTCTAATCCTAGGGTAGCAACTTAAAAATAACATTGATTTCCTTAGCA